ATCCCGCCTGGCTGTCAATCATTGGCTGCGTTCACACCAAACGAGTTGAGTCGGGGCGAGTCGAGTCACATCGAGTCTTGAGTCTACGTGACTCGCCATTTAAGGGAACATTATTTTGTCTGTAATTTTTGCAGAAACCGTTCACACCAGGGGAGGGGAGGTGAGGGGAGGGGAGGGGAGTCGAGGGGATTCATGAATACGCCCAGACCCATTTTTTCGTCAGTCATCACGAGTCCGTTGTGGTGTATCTCTTAGTTACCTATAAGATTTAATATTTTTATTTTATTTCTCAACATAAGGTTTCATAATAATTTGTCAATATTATCCTTCAAATGTTACTTTACCTGTCAATACTATGTTTCAGATCAAATACAAACCTTACCTTAAGAATATGACTAAACCTGGGTGATTTAGCAAGTCTGGAAACAAATGACTATAAGCACCAAAACCTGGTCTTTTGGCGTTGAGTTCATACACCCATACTCGGTTCCTCTTCCTCCTACGCCGCCGAATCCACAACAGAGTATATAAGGCTGCGAAAGACTGCGTGTCCATACCGCTTTACAGCTGGCAAACAGAGTACTCAACACATAATCTCTTAACACGAAATACTCTACACATACAGATACAAGATGCCTTCAACATATACTCAATACATCTAGATTCTTTTCTCTCACGGTGGGTGAACATAATTGACTGTATAATAAATTCATTCACTCACAATTTCAAATTCGGGAACCCCCTAAGAGATAAACAGAAATACGCGAGTCCCTGATAGAATAAAAAGAAAACGAAGGACTATGACATACTGAGGTGATTAGAGAACGGACGTCTTTACTGGGGGACTCAAAGGTTCACATGATTTATGGGCGATGTAGCATAATATGAACACTTAAGCGTTGACCGGACTAACAACACAAACGTGACCATGACACAAGGAGTTGGCCGAGCAGGCGACAACCATGTTCGTGCAGATGCCAACATCATATCCCCTTTTGAGACCGCACTCGAAAGTCGTCTGATGCCACGATTTCAACTGATAGTCGACAAAATACAACAGCAGCCAAGCCACTGAATCGCTAAAACATACATAATTATATCTATGATGCTTTAATTTATTATTAAATTATATTACAATACAAAATGGTAAATAAATACTAGTAAAACTGCTTTTTTTTATCTTTCTCTTTTAGCAAAATTTGCTTACTCCTTGGGGTGGATGGCTGTTTAAGTTTCATTAGGGGTGAACAACAAAAAAGGTTGAATAACACTGTTCTAACCAAACGTGCCCTAACTTAACACTAACCTCACCTGTCTAAGCATCAATAATCTCGTTCTCTTCTAAACATTGACTTCTTTCCTGTATTTTTTGTTCCTTTCTTGCCATCCTCAATGTGGCGTTATGGACCCTTTCTCTCTGTACTGCGTAAAGGGGGAAGTAACATCACTCCGTCATGCTCTGTAGTACAATTAACTCACACATGCTATTAAGGGATAGTGCAGACACATGCTCAATACCGAGCCTCCGGTAACACATGGAAGCAATATAGAGGGCACTGCACTCGACTGCTTTCATTTCACCAAGGAGGTCTTAACAGTGCCAAGTGGTATTATTTATGTAAGTGTCGTGGTTATCCTTGGATGTAAATAAAGGTACCTCACTGCACTCCCTCCTTCCAAGTGAGGGTCGTGATGCGTGATGACGGGGAGTGTATACTTTACCTCACCACCCCTCACCTGTGACCCTGGCCACCCAACCGATAGACACCCACCACATCCAGCCACCCTCATACTTAATTACTAGACACTCTATATTACCATCCATACACGGACTCCCTCCCACCACCCGCACTAGCACTCACCATACCACCCATCTCTACACGACCACACACCACTGCACCACCACTAACCACCCCTGCACTACCACACACTCTTGTTACCCACCATCCATGCATTATCATCAACCACTCAACCTTGCCACTCACCACCATCACTGCTACCGACCATCCCCACACTACCACCACCCCCGACTGGTTCTTCTTTCCCCACCAGTTTTTTTCAGCAGGTACTCAGCACAAAATGTGATCAGTAATATTTTTTTCCCATTTGCTTTTTCCGGGTCATACAAGGCTGCTGTGTTTGGTTTTATGATGCCTTGGCAGAGAATATTTGGTTTACACGTATAATAAAGTGCGAGCTGTGTAAACTAAAGCCCTGTGACCTCAATGATTAGTTTACATGTATACTAAGGTATTGTAAACCCTGGTAATGAATAAATCTGTGACATAAATGTTTAGTCTACATGTGAAAAAGCCTTTTATCTACACGTGTACTAAGGTGTAAAGTTCTTCTGTCTATCTGACCTGTTTGGAAGGTGGTCCAATAGCCTTCATACCAAGCGAGTCACACCTGTTGTCGAGTCCTTTCTCCGGTTATGCTCAGTTGACGGGGCAAACAGTGGTGTGAGGGGCTACACAGACACACGAATACACATACACACACGAATACACCTATATTATTTACACACAAATACACATACATAATGGTTGGCCCTCGTGTTAAGGAGGATGGCCGGCCCAAGGGCCACCTAGGCGTGAATTTATTTAAGGTGTAGAAGCTGTCGCCAACACAACAACCACACCGTGAGTTAACGAGCTGCATGACCTAGTGTTCAGGAACAGTCCGAGAAGACCGGACAACTCGCCAACTGCACTGGCTAACCATTACCCCGGAATACGACCCGCAAATCGATTAACATCCAGTTTTCCAATTACTGCTGGGTGGACAGAGGCAAGCGGCGTAATTAAACTTGCCCATAGTCTCACCTTGCCTGTGGATCGAACCCGGGTTTGCTATCTCAAGAAACGGGCAAGTTGACCACGACACCACAGGTCGCCACATACATAAACGCGAATACAACTACACAGACATACACACATGAATACATATATTTTACACGCAAGAATAAACCTACACAGACATATATATATACACACGAATACACATACATTATATACGAATACAAACAATATCTCACTAGTCAGGACTCGAACCCTGCGCACATCATTGTCATTCCTAAAAAAACCTTTAATTCATATTACGCTTGCTGACTGGCTGTGTGGTGGAGGATTGGCTGACTGGCTGTGTGGTGGAGGATTGGCTGACTGGCTGTGTGGTGGAGGATTGGCTGACTGGCTGTGTGGTGGAGGATTGGCTGACTGGCTGTGTGGTGGAGGAGGACTGGCTGACTGGCTGTGTGGTGGAGCTGACTGGCTGTGTGGTAGAGCTGATTGGCCTTCCTGCCATAGTCTAAACCTTAAATAAGTTGGTAATGAAATGCAATAATTATCTTCACCATACTCCATCGTAATATTATACAATAGCCTTAAATCCTTGGACACATTGCCAGGATCTGTTCTTTCATTTAATCACATTATTGTACGAGACACTCTATTAACTCCTCCCCTCAGAGCAAGTTCCTCTACTCTGTGTTCTATACTTGTTAGATCCAACATAGATTTGGTGATATATTTGAGAGATGAGGGCAAGAACTCTACTAAATCAGTGTTTTGCTCAGGTAGTGGATAGGAGTCGGTTAGCGTTGTGAAGGAGACGGCCACAAAAGATGACTGCTGGGAGTGCGTGGACGGTTGGCGGACAGCATAAATGAGACCATTTTTGTGTCTGCCAAACCATAGTCTTCGTACCGTTACAAAGGACGTGTATTTTTTTAGTGTTCTTTATTTTAAATTTAGGACAAAAGCTGACTTGGGGTTTTCCATATAGTGAATAATAAGGAGACAAGATGAAGCATCCTGACCAATGATAATGAAACAACAGTTCCACTAATATTCCCAAGTACGGGATTTTTTACTTACGCCCTAAACTTCCTGTGAACTTTCTCGGATACCAAATGTAATCTTCAGTACTGTCTGTTCACTTTATACACTGTGCAATATCAAAGCAAATGATGTAAGTAATAAAGTACAAGGATACTGACTCCGTAGCATTTGAAATTGAAGAGACAAACAAGGCAGTTTAAATCATTTAGTCTCCATATATATACTGTAGTATAAATCAAACATCTAGTGTTCTTAGCTCATCCCCTCGACATTAAAAATCAGGTAGGTCACTTTTATCCACAGACTGTTGCAACAGTCAGTCGTAGAAGAACAGCTGCTTCTATTAAGGGTTAACGGAGACTCTTCCATCCCCAGACAAACTGGCCACAGTGATCTGAGGCCGACAGTCTCAGTGATCACTATCTTGTGCGGACTTCCTACTGTCACTTGCAACAGTTCCAGATGAATCTCGTCTGAGTTTTTCCTTTCCGAGGCTTAGCAAGCGATAGTGGTGGCCTCAATAGGATCTGATCACGAAGGAAGGTTTGTTATGCGTCAGGGTAGTGAAAGAGATTGAAAAACATAGAATTACAAAAATAATTATGAATGGAAATAGAACGGACGTGAATAAACTTAATGGTGCAGTACATAATATCCAACTGCTAAAAATAAATTATGAATAAATTGTTATTGTTCTATTCATGACTTCTTCAATAGGTGTTCACTATCACAATCGAAGTTATTGATGCTGATAATTTGAGGAGAATTTTCGTACAAGTTCCTGACAGCACTTTGCTGTTGCTCATCCTCGCATCCTCTACACTACTGTTCCCCCTTCTCTACACCACTGTTCCTCCTCCTCCTCCTCCTCCTCCTCTACACCACTGCTCCCCCTTCTCTACACCACTGTTCCTCCTTCTCTACACTACTGTTCCTCCTCCTTTACACTACTGCTTCTCCTTCTCTACACTACTGTTCCTCCTCCTTTACACTACTGCTTCTCCTCCTCTACACTACTGTTCCTCCTCCTCTACACTACTGTTCCTCCTTCTCTACACCAGTGTTTCTCCTCCTCTACACCACTGTTCCTCCTTCTCTACACCAGTGTTTCTCCTCCTCTACACCACTGTTCCTCCTTCTCTACACCAGTGTTTCTCCTCCTCTACACTACTGTTCCTCCTTCTCTACACCAGTGTTTCTCCTCCTCTACACTACTGTTCCTCCTTCTCTACACTACTGTTCCCCCTTCTCTACACCACTGTTCCTCCTCCTCTACACTACTGCTTCTCCTTCTCTACACCACTGTTCCTCCTCCTCTACATCACTGCTCCTCCTCCTCTACATCACTGCTCCTCCTCCTCTACACCGCTGTTCCTCCTTCTCTACACCGCTGTTCCTCCTTCTCTACACCACTGTTCCTCCTCCTCTACATCACTGCTCCTCCTTCGCAACAGTGTGGGAGAAGTCACAGTCTCTCCGTGCCAGTTCTTGTTCACAGTTGATCAACGGCTTGAAGACGATTTTCATGTCTGGTGAAGGTTTCATGATTCTAATTTCTTTAGCAAACTCCATCTGCTCTTGGCCAGGTGCGCAGCTCACCTCAAACTCCAGGAAAGTCTTCGCCAGCGCCAACTTGGTCTCCATCAAGGCGAACCGCATTCCTGTGAGGGCAGACACAGGAGGAGATAACAATACTCTCTAAAGCCGAGTTAATTTATTTTATAGAATAATAGATCACCACTCACCAATACAGTTACTAGCACCACTCACCAATACAGTTACCATCATCACTCTCCAATTCAGTTACTATCACCACTCACAAATACAGCTACTAACTCTACTCACAAATACAGTTACTATCACCACTCACCAATAAAGTTACTATCACCACTCACCAATACAGTTACTATCACCACTCACCAATGCAGTTACTATCACCACTCACCAATACAGTTACTATCACCACTCACCAATACAGTTACTATACCTCGCCATCATCACAGTTACTACACCACTCGCCAAGCAGTTACTATCACCTCGCCAATACGGTTACTATCACCACTCGCCAATACAGTTACTGCTGCACTCTACCAATACGGTTACTATCACCTCGCCAATACAGACACTGGCACCGCCACAATACGTTACTATCACCACTCGCCAAGCTTTGCTATCTGCTCATAATACAGTTACTATCACCACTCGCCAATACGGATTTTGATGCACTCACCAATATGATTACAATCACCACTCATAGCCACGGTTTACAATCTACCCACTCGTAGCCAGTTACTGCTCACCACTCGCCATTACAGTTACCTCTTACTCGCCAATGCGGTTACTATCACCACTCCTTAATACGGTTACTATCACCACTCATGTACAGTTACTATCACCTCGCCAATACGGTTACTATCTACCCACTCGCCAATACGATTTACTATCACACTCATATTACAGTTGCTATCACCTCGCCAACACGATTTACTATCCACTCGCCAATACGGTTCACTATCACCCCGCCGCCAATACGGTTACAATCACCACTCGCCAATACGGTTGCAATACCTGTAGCCGGTTATATCACCACTCGCCAATGCAGTTACTATCACCACCATATTCTGATTGCCTCACCCTCGCCAATACGAAAGTTACTATCTGCCTCGCCAGGCTACAGTTACTGTCACCACTCGCCAATACAGTTACTATACCACTCGCCAATACCGGTTACTATCTTACTCGCCAATACCACAGTTACTAACACCTTTCGCCAATACAGTTACTATCACACTCGCCAATACAGTTACTATCACCACTCGCCAATACAGTTACTATCACCACTCGCCAATACAGTTACTATCACCACTCGCCAATACAGTTACTATCACCACTCGCCAATACAGTTACTATCACCACTCGCCAATACAGTTACAATCACCACTCGCCAATACAGTTACTATCACCACTCGCCAATACAGTTACTATCACCACTCACCAGTATATTTACTATCACCACTCACCAGTATATTTACTATCACCACTCACCAATTCATTTACTATCACCACTCACCAATAGTTCCTATCACCACTCACCAATACAGTTCCTCGGACCAAGACCGAAGGGAAGATAAGTACCACTCTTAACTTTGTCTTTGTTCTCTGGCAGGAATCGGTCTGGCCTGAAGACTTCTGGGTCAGACCAGTACTGAGGGTCATGGTGGAGGCTCCAGTTTGGGATGCTTACTATGGTCTTCTCTGGGATGATCAAATCAGTACCTGGGAGGCTAAAAGGATCACCAGTTAATCTTCTGAACCCAACGAACTATCCTCAAGGTATTTAATATGGTGGTCATTACACAGTTTGCTTTTGGACATTATTTATAAAGGAGTATAAATTTTCAACTTTTTAACTTTTCATTTACTAGTCACATAAACTGGACATCAAAGGACTCGTATTCAAAGTGTTTATAAATCTGATAAAGTATTTTGATAAACTCTGAGATATATAATTTTCCTCGTCTCTATGAATCTGTTGGCCAGTCTCCTTTCCATACAGCTGGAGTGAGGTTACTTGATCTAATATTCGATCCTACCAGTCAAGTTACAACAAAGTTTGTCTCTATTCCTAGGTACCACAAAAACTTTAGCTTATGTCGTTACTTACGCTTGTGGCAATGGAAAAATAGTTGTGGCGAATGGTAATGTTATTGCATTACATAATAACAATATATTGAATACCTTATGTCGACATCTCTTATGGCTATTAACTCAACATTAATGAGAAGTAGGTAAAGTTTTTTGTCTTACTTGTAGTCTTTGGTGCACATCCGCTCCAAGTAATGGGCCGTGGGGTGCACCCTTGATGTCTCTGTAACGAAACCTGTTTTAGTAACCACGATACTGTAACACAGCTTGTGATAGCTGTTTTGGTATCACACTAATTGTTTTAATTAAGTTCTGGAACTATTACGTGGCAGGGCTTGATGTAAACACTTCTGGGCATTTTCTGTTTATTGAGTAGCAGATATGATCGGAGGGAATAATTTATGACTTCTCTCTGGGGAAGTGTTGGGAATATCATTTTAAATAACACTTCTGTTAAGTGTGAACATCCTTATCTAGTAGTATGGAGTGAGTGAGAGAGTGGTCGCGAGCGAGCGGTGTTTAATGAATCAGCTGACCCTGGCACAACCTTTGAGAGAGATGCAAGTCGAGTGATTACCAACACCTCTTCCCTCCCAGACCAGATATCCCTCCTCCTAGTCACAGGCCTGGCATTTGACATTATTAGGGACCTGCCACTCTTTGCCATAAACAGATGAAATGTACCGGGAACTTTCCCCCCACACACTCATCATTCTCTCACTTTATGTAACTTGACAAGACCTATGACCCTTCAGGCTTTTACGCCCTTAATGTACGAGTCATAAAGGCAAGTATGAACTTTTCATACTTCCCTGTTGGGCGCTGTAAACGCTTCTGCGCTTCATCTTGCACAGGATATAATGGGGTGCCCAATAAACTAGTCCCCTCGGGGGCAAATCTGAATCTGAAATCTGTACGGGGGGTGTATTCTTAATTCGCTAATAGTCTTCCGTTCCTGCTGTTACAGTACTATAAGAAATTGCTTTTAATAGTGATGACCTTCACATACAATTCATTATTAATTTTACAACTATGAATTTTTTTTTAATATTCATCCCCTATAGCCTGATCCTTTATTGGTCTCCATATACGTTTAACATCAACTTATTAGCATTAAACAAAAGCCAAATGTATCACTCAAGTTATTCAGTATGGCGGTCATAACACACACCAGATCTTAAGGTTTGATATTCAAGTTCTGCATCTATCCATCTTATTTTTATCCCCTTTAGTTATTGCAAAGTATCAGACATAACAGACACCGCCCACGCCAAATAGACTCACTGAAACACCAACATCGAGTGACTCCTGTTTCAGCAAATTAGACATAATATAACCTCACCCAGGTCACTTACCTGATATGCAAGCATCGAGAAACTTGGCCTCCATGATGCCTTGGTAGGTGAGTGTTCCATATTCCTTGACAATGTTTTCCAGTTCCTGTCGCAGGCGCTGCTGTTGCTCGGGGTGCTGAGCCAGAAGGAAGGCGACGAAGGAGAGGGTGGTGGCCGTGGTTTCGTACCCGGCTAGGATGAATAATATGGAGTTGGCCACAATAGTAGCGTCCTTCAGTGCTGTAGAAGGAAACTGGTGTTCAAGCTATGTACTCGAAACAAGATCCATCTGATAATGGGAGATGGTTGGGAGGTGTGAGAAAAGGTACAAAGAGAACAAGAGAAATGTGTAAGTATTTGGCACCCGATGAAGCTGACGGGCAGTGAAGACAGAGCCCCACATACATTGTGTCCCAAAATTTCATACTCGTCAGCAGAATTCACCATTTACATTTAACTCATCAAAACTTCAAATCTCATGCCAAGAACTAACAGCAAATATCAATGCCCATTGATTTGAAATATTTTCTTATCTTCACCAGTAAAGAAAATCTATTGAAATCATTAGAAAATTCATTAGACAAATCAAAGATCACTTTACGGTATTTTGGGGCCTTCAAGTTGGGGTCCTTCTGGTCCTCACGAGCCTCCATCATCAGGTCCAGGAAGTCGCCGCGCTTTCCGCCTTTTTCTCTCTGCTTCATTGTCTCCATAATGACGTTCTCGAAGAAGACTATCTCAGGCGCGGTCAAGCTGATCTTAAAAAATGAGGTAATCCTTGGAGATAACAGGTACAGAAACAACTTTATCTTACGGAAAAAAGATACAGCGAATAGTTTTTCCACCATAACATTAAAGGTTGTTTCTCCTCCACATTCAAAAGCATTTGTCTCCATCCCAAAGGCACAAGACGAGATGACTTCCAGGGCAAACAAAGCAAAGGTTTTCTGAAGTGGGAGAGCCGAGTGGCTTTTTATTTGTCTGTGTATATAATCTACCAGAGCATCAGCCTTCAGCGCCACCAAAGGGAATATCCCCTTCATCCTGCCGGAGCTGAAGGTGGGGGACACCACCGAGCGGATGCCCTTCCAGTGGTCCCCATTTATGGTTGTCAGCATTTCCGTAAACACCCCGTCCCTCTTTGAGGTCAAACGAATGTGCCGGCGATCAACAAAGTGATCAAAGTCTTTAATGAGGATAGTCTTTACTAGTTCAGGGTCCATCAGCATGAAAGTGGGTGTAAGTTGCTCGTAGTACCCACAGAACTTAGATTCAGCAAGATTCTTGTATACCTGCGGGAAAAAATTGAGAAATCAGCTATTTGTATTTATTAAACACCCATCTATCATCGCTTGTATCTGTTTTAACCAATAAGTAATCCAACTAAATTGTTCCTTCTATCTTTTCCCTTAACCTACCTCATCAATGTACAGCCACCTGGAGCACCTCCTGACCTACCTCATCAATGTACAGCCACCTGGAGCACCTCCTGACCTACCTCATCAATGTACAGCCACCTGGTGCACCTCCTGACCTACCTCATCAATGTACAGCCACCTGGTGCACCTCCTGACCTACCTCATCAATGTACAGCCACCTGGAGCACCTCCTGACCTACCTCATCAATGTACAGCCACCTGGAGCACCTCCTGACCTACCTCATCAATGTACAGCCACCTGGTGCACCTCCTGACCTACCTCATCAATGTACAGCCACCTGGTGCACCTCCTGACCTACCTCATCAATGTACAGCCACCTGGTGTCCTCCCTCCTCACCTGTACAGCCACCTGGGCAGACCTACCTCATCAATGTACAGCCACCTGGAGCACCTCCTCCTCATCAATGTACAGCCTCCTGGAGCACCTCCTGACCTACCTCATCAATGTACAGCCACCTGGTGCACCTCTGACCTACCTCATCAATGTACAGCCACCTGGAGCACCTCCTGACCTACCTCATCAATGTACAGCCACCTGGAGCACCCCCTGACCTACCTCATCAATGTACAGCCACCTGGTGCACCCCCTGACCTACCTCATCAATGTACAGCCACCTGGTGCACCTCCTGACCTACCTCATCAATGTACAGTACAGCCACCTGGAGCACCTCCTGACCTACCTCATCAATGTACAGCCACCTGGAGCACCTCCTGACCTACCTCATCAATGTACAGCCACCTGGTGCACCCCCTGACCTACCTCATCAATGTACAGCCACCTGGAGCACCCCCTGACCTACCTCATCAATGTACAGCCACCTGGTGCACCTCCTGACCTACCTCATCAATGTACAGCCATCTTGGGTAGGACGTTCTATAGAGCTTGTGGCTGTGGCCAAGGAAGGGAATGTATCCTGGTATAGTGACCACCCCGCGTGCCGCCCAGTAGTTATGACAGTACTTGGAGTACAACCAGGCCGCCGTCACCAGCGTCACCACCAGCAGCGCCACCGTAAACAACATGGTCCTCCTGCAGTAAAGCGTAACACTCTTTAGCAACGCAGTGTTTCACCATCACAGTGTGCTAGTGCTGCCAGAGCATTCCTCGCTGACGGAGTTGTCGTACTGTACTTGTTAAGTGTCTGAACCTAAGTGTTGTTATGAGAGGGTCAGACGATTCGCAAAGAAATATATATGTGCAAGAAAACTATAGATGAACTGACAAAAACAACATATAGACAGGACTGGTACAACAGACAAGATCCACCCACCTCTGTACCCGCCGGAATCATAATATCCCATAATTACGATCCATACCGTTGTTGGTCACACGTACACAACAACAACACTGAAAACAAACACATTTTCATAATTTGTTTCAACTGTTGATATTATAAAGTATATCCAAGTTCTCAAGACTCGGTCCTGAAGAGAAGTTACCCCTAATCAGTGAGAGTAGGAGATAATCAATGGTTGCGTCAACAGAATAATGAATTACGATAGTTGGTCTTGCTACTTTAAAGGATAAGTTTCCACGTCAGTGTACAAGAGGCATTCTACATATTGAACACACACATACAAGAGCACGACACCTAATTATGTATTTCATTTCTATTGTAAATTTATTCATATAAATTATTACTTCCTCCAACAAATAGTAAATGCTTCAGTGAATATTGTAAAGCCTACTAATGTATTCACCCCGAGAGGAACTGTTTCATCATTCTGTAAACAGGAATTGTCAAAAGAATTTATATATTTGGAATAATTTTCCTCAAATCCTTCTCGTTGTTGATATTTACATGGTAGACCCTGCTGCTGTATGGCATCACGAAAATTGTGACCAAGTCCCAGGTTGCTGATCTGACTTTGCCTCATTTACACACAATTACAGGGTCTCAATTGTTTCTCTTACAACACAACATAACATATATCGTTTCTCACTATTGATCGTTTTTTGTTAAATATTTATGGTCCTATTATCATTAATATTATTATAAATTTTATTAATTTTTATTATTATTATTATTATTATTATATTTTCGGCCCCAGGTGGGCTGATCCCGTAAAAAAAGAAAAAAAGTCATCCCACACGGTAAGAGAACTCTTTCTGTGAGACTGTTAACCTCTGAGTACGATGACTTAATCCCCTGAATATTACAATGACACCCTGATTACGTTGATAAGCCCTTGAATACGATAACTTAAACCTTGGGATACGATAACTTAGCCTCCCTGAATACAATATCATCGTACTCAAGGGATTAAAGTATACGAACATTGCCAGTAGTGATAAAGAGAAAACTAAGGTTCAATGTGATGTGGGATAATAAAAAAAACCAGGCGAAATACATAGAAAAATACAGTGCTAATTGCAATCAAGATCAATAGAGTAATGGTAGGATTTGTTTTAGGTTTCCAAGTGATAGAGGAAGTTTTCAAAGGTGTAGAAACAGGAAACGAAGGACTCAAAGACAGTCCTTAATACGGGGAGGGAGTCGGTGATGGTCCTCCTTGTAAAGTGTTTTATGTGTAAAATAAAAAAAAATTCTTCGGGATGAAATGTTAGGAGTAAAGTCGTTTCTCCGAGTGTGTTATGGTGTAGCTTAACAAACGAGTACAAATAATAATTCTAATAATAATAATGTTTTTGATATTCTCTCAGTTAACTTTATACTTGAATTCCCTTTGTTATATTTATTAGGTTATAGTGTATGTGATTCTCATATACTTTAAGGTATCTTGTCAGGTTACACAAGATTTCTCAATGACTAAAATATCTTATCAGTCACGTGGACCCCAAACCCAGTACGTGAGGATAGAAGCATCGTTATCATTGTAGCTGACTCATTTGACCTTGTAATGCGTTTCATAGACGTAAAGGACGAATTTGGGTTAATTAACAAACAGGTTCTCCTCTACACAACTGATCTGAACACCTGCCCACCAAAACATGCACTAACACTAGCCTGTAAGGTATCACCATCCCTTGATACATTCACCTGAGAGGCAACTCTTCAGTGACCACTTATAATTTCGCTTGATAAATTGGGGCGTGTCTGTAGTGGATATTCTCTGAGATTAAGTTAAATAAAGGAATACCTAAATTCACAATGATGCATTTCACTTTCATCAGAAAAACAATTACTTTTTATTAACAGGGAAAATTATACCATATTCGTTTTATCAGAGAAATCAATAAGCTTATCTACCAGACTCCCACAAAGTCCTTATCATCAAGATATAACTATGACGTCAGCCTTACATTTCACTGTACCATTGGCTTAACCATAAGTGTATGTGTTAGTTTATACCAAATATAAACACCCCGGCAGACAACGGAGCCAAGATAAAGAAAAAACGCTATTTACTTATTAACCTGCAGCTCTACAGTACACTACACCGCCTGACGCCTCTCTCTAGTCAGGAATGAGCAAAAATTCTAAGTAATTACAAGTCTCCTGATTTTATTTATTTATATTTTTATTCTTGTGTAAGGAGGGGGGTCAATATAGGTTATTATTATTATTTTTTTCATTATCTTATTAATACCGGTGTGTAAGAGGAGAGCTTTTTTATTTTATCATTTTATTGTTATCCAGGTCTTTTCTGTTAGTACCTAACTTCTATCACAGTCTTTCTCGAATGCTTTTGTTTATGTTTTCTAAGTTATTTTCTAACTGAAAAATGATGTTTACAAAGTTCAACCAAGTAAAATTAACTTAATATGGTGGGCGTGAGGCACTCGTCACATCTAAATCAGTTGCTGTACATTTGACTATGAAAATCATTGTCATGAGTCAGATGAATCTTACAGCTATTGTTACAATCTATACAGAGTTCGAGCTTGCCAGGCAATAGTCAACCGCACAAGCTGATAACGTCTTTGTTACGACCTCATCAAACTATAGACAAGGGCATACAGAGTATGCCGTTAGATATTAAAACGAAAAGAAGGCAGACATTCTTCCAGGATATTAATTACTTTCTAGAATACAAAACTGACAAGAATTTCAATACACACATCATATTCGCTGTGGATTGGGAATCAAAATGATCTAATTTCAGTATCAGTTGGAAACTCACGGCATCCCCAAGGACGGGGTCAGGGAATCGTCACTTATACTGGCAGACGCTACACTAACTTATTTGGAAATTTTACTAAGCGTAAATACAGTTGAACCTTTAAAAATCACTCGCTTGGGATCTTGAATGTTTTATCTGTAATCAAACATATCCAGTTTAATGTAAAACATGTGTGTTCTCTCTCGATTTCAAATCTCTGACCACCATAAGAGGTATTAAGAAATATCAGTCTCTGAGGAGCATAAGAAAAAACGGAGGCCTCTGGTGTACTGAAGCGGTGAGAAAACGGACGCCTCAGATGAGGGACTCAATAATGATGTTATAGCTACAGGTTTTATGGGCTGTTGAGCGTAATATGAATTGTATGATTTTACGTTAACTAACATGTACGACTGTGGTCAGTACACTTGGTGTCGTATTCATGAGACAACTGAACAAGTAATGGACTAACTCAGAAATGAGCCCGAGTCATTACGACAGAGTTGAAGATATTAGCAAAAATATATGTAATCCAGGCGGTGCAGCTCCCTGAACGCTTCGCTGGGTAAAAATAAGATGAAAATAGACACACCGCAATTCTTTTCTTCTTTTATCCTCTTCACCACTGATAGCCGCTTGGGGGATCGGTCACGTCTCTTACTTTTCTTATGTTAACTTTTTTCACTTTGTGATTTATGCAAATAAAGACGGGAAATATTGGATAAGTTTGATAAAATACGCGAATTCTGACCCACTCCATTGGTAAACAGTCCTGTATACAATTAGCCGATTCGACCAAGATGAGTAAACAAATTGAGTATTAATAATATTATTTCCAGTAGGACTATTTGCTTTTATCCTCTTCACCACTGACCGGCTCGTTAGCCGCTTGGGTGATCGGTCACTCTCCGTTACGCACTGTTGGCAAGTACTGGGCATGCACTGGCTCCTGAATGTATTTGAACTTGCTCCAGTGCTTGTCAAGTTTGGTCTTGAAAGAGCTCACACTCGGTGCAGTCAACGTTCTCTGACATATTGTTCCAAGTGTTCACAACTTTCACTCCGAAAAAAGTTAACCCTCACAGTTTTCTGGACTTGCGGCTTCTTCAACCATGAGCTGTGACCCCCTTGTGGGGGGAGCTTCCGCCAGCTCCAGGTAAGGACACTAGACTGAGCAGTGCCCCTTGAGATGCTTATACACCTTAATTAGTTCTCCCCTTGCCCGTCTGTTGTATAAGCTAGGCAATTTCAGGCGCTCTAATCTCTCAGGGTAGCTGAGGTGCCGAAGTGCAGGCACCAGTCTGGTGGCCCTCCTTTGAACAGTCCCTAGCATACCTCGGGGACCAGCCTTGGTGACAGTACTCCAGATGGAGAAGCGCTTCACTCTTGAAGATCGTTAAGAGGGACGGACCGTCTAGTTATCTGAATGACCTTCTTATAAGGCCTAATAATTTGGTTGCCTGATTTACCTTCTTGCAATGGCCCAAGAACTTCAGTTCATTGTCAACGTACACACCCAGGTCCTTTTCACATTGTCTCAATCAATTCAGTTTCTTCGTCCCGTTGGGACAGATGATACGCCTCCTTACCGTTGGTACGTCCCAGGTGCAGCCTCTTACACTTCATGCTATTGAATCTTGGCAGCCATTTCTTCGATCATTCTTGAAGCTCAGAGATCCCTAACAGCAGAGGGATGCTCTCCCCCGGCCGACAAAACGGCCACCACAAAACAAGTGCTCATAACGCATTGCGGTCCAACCCCCAGCACTATAGACCTCAAAACCTGGGGGATCTAGGAAGTGAGGCCCTTCGTTCCGGAGCCCTTGCGGTGCTTTAGAGGCCAGAAATACGGGCACCATCAGACGAGGTGCACGTACAAAGACATCTGCGCCGTCTGCGCGCAGAAGCACGGTACACACTCTTGCCTCACTATGTTGAATAATGAGGAAAAAATTGCCCCCCAAGTGTGCCAACTGCGGGGGCAAACACCACGCCTGGAACCCTGGATGCTCCGAGAGAACAAAGAGGGTCCAGGCAAACCGACCAGCAGCAACACCGGCCCCCACCACCTACACACCAGCCCCACCAAGTACCTTTGTGTGGGGAACCCACAGCCAAAACAACAAAGCCAACCTCCTCAGCCGGTCAACACCCAAAGTGCAGCCCAGTTTCCTGGCCTCACTACGGCCACACCTCAGCCACCCAAGCAGCAGACAACGACAACATCTACGAAAAAGACCCCCCAAAAAAAGTACACACCAAGGCACCAGAAGGAATGATACACGTATCATACTTAGCCAAGGTACTGACAACC